AATTGCAGAGATAAATTGGTTCTTGGTGTGCATGACTGATCAAGAGCAAAGTACCTTAATTTCAGATGCCTTCACAGAGATTTTTCTTTAACCTCTGCTTTTAAGAGGAAGATTATAAAGCATTATCTTTACTTCAGGTCAGAATTATATTGCTTTTGGTCAAAAGCTGTTGTAAGATTTACAAAGTAGTAGAAACAAAGTAATCTAAAGATAAATTATAAAGATCAAAGCAATTCAAAATTAAAGTGAGTTTGAGTATAAGCATAGGTATCGTTTTAGTTATAAAAGAAACCATCAGACCATACATCATTATGTCTTTTTAACTATAGCTTCCAAAGTAGCTTTAATTTTTTGTATTTTTAGTGAGAAGCAAGAGGCTTGAGTAATTATTTGATTATATTGTCCATAGTTTAATACTAGTTAAAATTGTCCCAAGCAATTTCTGATTTATTCCAGATATAACAATAAGGTGATTTGGAAGTAATTTGGAAGGTCATGTAGCACATAGTAGGTACCAGCCTTGGTTTATGTCTCTGACTATATTTTATTGATTGATAATTTCCAAATCTGTATCTTTTAACTCTGCTTTCTCATATACCTAGTTATGAGATTTTTAAAAAAATATATACCTTTATTAATTTCAGAGAGAGGAGAGGGAAAGGGGAGAGAGAGATAGAAACATCAATGATGAGAGAGTCATTGATCATCCCGCAACCCGAGCATGTGCCCTGACCGGGAATCGAACCCAGATCTCGTGGATCCTAGGTCGATGCTCAACCGCTGAGCTACGCCCGGCCGGGCTAGTTATGAAAAATTTAAAACTGGATATCTAATAGGTACTTCGGACACTTTAATGTGCCTCCAACTGAATTTTTAAAAATTTAAGTTTTTTTTAACTTGCCTGTCCTTCCGTACTTAGATATTCTGATTTATGACTTCATTATCCTCTTGCCCTCATTAAACTTTCCTTATGCCCTTTCCAGATTACTAACTTGTACTGTAACCTTTGAAATGTCTTTCAGATCTGGCCACCTACTCCACCCCCATAGTCACCCTCTTGCACCTTCACTATCTGTTCTTTAAAAAATTATTAGTGTTATTATAAAAGTAATGAGTATGTTTTACAAAAAAAATTCAGACCCCTCAAAAGTTTGTAAAGTGAAACTTCCCCTGCTCTTTCACTCCCAATGGTGCTTCTTTGAAGTAACCACTGTTTCTGTTTGGTTTCTTTATTGCCAGATACTTTCTATGCATTTCTAAACATATAGATATGTTTCCCATCTCTTGCTTGGACTATTAAAACAGATTCCTCACTGGTTTCCCTGCCATCAACCCCTCTCCACCCTGGTTATTGCCAAAGTTATCTACCTAAATAGCAAATCTTCCTCAGCTAAAAGAGCTCTGCTTGTTCCCTGTCGCCTGTAAGATAAGGACCAATCCCTTAAGGATTGCATATATAGAAGCCTTTCACAGTCTGGGCCCAGTCATTAGCCTTACTCCTTGCCACATCTGCCAGGTTCCTTATCTCCAGTGTCACTACTTCCTGGATGGATCCTGCCTCATCTTATCTCTCTACCTTTGTACCATGCTCAGTCTCTTCTCTACCATCAAGTTTCCGCTCATTCTTCAAGACACTGATCATCTGTAGCCTCCTTTATGGAAGTGTCTTTCCCACTTTTCCCAAGCAGAGATAGTGGCTCTCTCTTCTCTTTTCCTTCAGGACCTTAATCATATCTTTTCTTTTTATCTGCATGTCTGTCTCTCCCTTAGATCCCTGTAAGCTTTTTAAAAGGAACTGTTGTCTTACTCATCATTTTATGTCTGATACTCTATAACAGGCATTCAATAAATGTTTGGTAAATAGAAATGTCTTTAGTTTGGATCTGCATTGCAATCAAGGCCTAAGTTAAAGAAAGTAAAATTTTGGACCCCATTATTTTGGGGAATTTTTAAGCCATTTTACTTGTTTTTATGAGTTTTGAGTATTTTTGCTATTTTACTTTACTATCCTTATAAATGTTACATATAAAATTTTATGTATCTTTTATATTTTACTTTACTATTTTCATGATTTTTACTTAATTATATGATTTTTCACCGTTTAAGGATGGTAGTACAATTGGTACATTTTGTCTCCTCTATCTGTAAAATGAGGCAGAATTTTAATAAGAATGAGCTGGTTCAGGTATTAAGCAGTTTTCTTTTGGAAATGAGATACTCTTTTTCACAATAGAGATTTCACTGTGATTACCCTGCATTTTCTCTGTTTCCTACTGAAGAAGCTCTTCGTGCACTTGCAAAGAGCATAGGAGTCATGTCAGAGGTCAGCTATTTGAGTCCATTTTCCCACAGCTGCCTGGTGCGAGTGATCTTTTACTGTGTTTTAAAAAAATGGGCAAGGATTAGAGAGGATTAGAAAGAATATTACCCTCCTGAATATAGGCCCAGGGCACTAAGGGGAGAAAACCCAACCAGGCAGCAAATGGGCTTTGCTTGACCAGGACACAACCTCTGCTGCATTCCTTCAAGAAGCTGAATGGGAAATGCTAAGTCCCCAAACTGGATTAGTAAATAATCTCATAGCTTGTGACATCTGCTAAAGTAAATTGATGAGCAGATTGCATTCTTACACTTTGAGGAGAGAGCAGATACTTCAAGACTAAGAGTAATTCTTTTTTTTAAATTTCAGCTATAGGAGTAAGAGTCATTAAAGATGGGCATAAGCTCAGTAAGTGTTGGAAAGACACATTCCATAAGAAAAATTATTTCAGATATATTAATACATACATATTGATTAATAACCTAAGGCTTACATTTTGAAACCACTACACTTTTTTGTTTTTAAGATTCTTCCTGCTTGTAGCAGTTTTACGAAGTGAGCTTCACAAATTCAACTCTTTAATTTATGTTGTTTATCTCATTAGTTTGTGTAACAGTCTGAGGAATTTAGAATTTGAAATGTGAGAATATATCTTTTGAGACACCTCTGGAATGTTTCTCTTGTTATGTTTTGTAACAGAAGATAATGTGGTTTGGACCTTATGACACATAATTTGGTATCAAATTATTTAGAACCAAAGAGGTCATTTCAAGCCTATTTTTTAGGGGAAGTGTTTGCAAGAAGTGTTTATCTAACCAAAATTTTTAAAAGATTTTGTTTTAAGTTGACCGCTTTAAGAGTAAAGATGATGTACAAGTGATTAATGTTGCATCTTCTGTAATTACTACATTTGATTAGTGTAGTAACTGTGATTATACTGCTTTTTTTACGGATTATAATATTAAGGCAAGCATTTTCTTCAAGAATTTAAGATAGAATTTAATTTCATCTATGAATAAGAATTGATAGGCTATAGCTTCTTTAACAAGCATACTCACTAATCCCTCAAATGCATCTTGTTCTCTTGCCTCAGTGCCTTTGTTCAAGTTGCCCCTGTCCTTTGAATATGTCCTTCTGTTCCTTACTCCGCCCCACCCCCAATCTGCTCTTCACGTTCCATCCAACTTTACTTATCACCTCCAATCCCAAATTTTGTCAAAAGGTTTATTTTCAGCCCCTTAAGCAGAAGGAACACCTCCTAAGGTAGAGCTACCATACGACCCAGCAATTCCACTCCTAGGTATATACCCAAGAGAGATAAAAACAGATGTTCATATAAAAACTGGTACGTAGATATTTTTGGCAGCATTATTCAAATAGCCCAAAGGTAAAAACTACTGAATCCTCATGAAATGATGAATGGAGAAACCAACATACTGTATCCATACAGTGGAATATTATTCAGCTGCAAAAAGGAATGAGGTACTAGCACCTGCTGCAACATGGCTGTACCTTGGAAACACTTTGTTAAGTGAAAGAAGCCAGTTACAAAAGACCATATATTATGTGATTCTGTGTATGAAATATCCGGAAGAGGCAAATCTATAGAGACAGGAAGTGGAGTAGTGGTTGCTCAGGGCTTGGCGGGAATGGTGGAGTAGAGGGTGGCAACTAAAGAGAATGAGGGTTTCCTTTGGAGGGGATGCAAGTGTCCCAAAATGACCTTGGTGATGGTTGCACATACCTGTGACTATACTAAAAACCATTGAATGGTGTATTTAAATGGGTGAATTGTAAAGTATGTCAGTTATATCTCAATAAAGCTGTTATAAAAAAAACTAAATTAAAAAATTAATAGCTCCTATTCATACTCCTATATACGTTGTTTATACCTCTAATAAAACACTTAGCTCAGTTTGGTTATAATTATTAACTTAAGAAATCTGGCCTGGCCAGGTGTGGCTTAGCGGTTGAGCATTGACCTAGGATCCAGGCAATCGGGGTTCGATTCCCGGTCAGGGCACATGCCGGGGTTGCGGGCTCGATCCCCAGATCAATGACTCTCTCATCATTGATGTTTCTATCTCTCTCTCTCTCCTTTCCTCTCTCTGAAATCAATAAAGATATACTTAAAAAATAATAATAAAAATCTGTCTTTCTCATTGCGTTAGGAAGCTCCAAAAACTGGAGTGATTTTTGGTGTTCCCTAACAAGCAGGTGCATTGCTCTCAGTAAATATTAATTTAATTGAACTTCTTCATAATTAAGTTCCTTCACCTGTAAAATGAGAATGAGAAAAAAAATAATGTTTCCACAAAGTATTGTGCCCAAACTGTATTTTATAATTTTTACACTTAGTTTTTGAAAAAATAAATATTTGCTCCCACATTATTTCCTCAGCTTGAGGTTTTGTTTTATATTTAGCAAGGTCACATATAAGCCATTTATCATCTTATTTTTACCTATAGGAATATTCTTGTCCTTGGGATTTGCATATAAAGCATTTTATACACATTTATTAGTAGACCTTACTGTCATTTCAACTAGCTGAATGTTTGTTTTTTAAATAAAATTGACTTTATAAAATCAGAATCTACATTTTTGCGGATGTTTGAAAATAACAATTTAATTTTTCTTTTTCCTGTGGTGTGTCTATGTGTGTGTGTGTGTATTTTTCTAGTACTTACTGGAGATGAAAAGTCTAATTTTGCCTCCAGAGCACATTCAGAAGCGGGGTGACAGTGAGGCAGTTGCCTATGCCTTCTTTCACCTTCAGCACTGGAAGCGAATTGAGGGTGCTCTTAACCTGCTGCAGTGCACGTGGGAAGGCAGTAAGTATATTCCAAGTGTAGCCCGACCTCTCCCTCTAGTCGCTGCATTCACAGGCAGCCTTTGAGGTGACACTGTCTCAGTGTCCCTAAGGATTTGCTGTTCAGATTGCTTTCAGTGTGAACTCGGTGGTGTTAATTTGGCTTATTGGTAGAAGAGATGTTTAATGTGCTTATGTTGATGCTACATTTAGGAAAAGCAGAGTGAGACACTTATGACTTTTTGCCATATTCACTTAAATTGCGTATTCGTAAGGAAAGAAAATGACTCATCCTTGGTTTATGAGCTTTTTAAGGTGGTTAAGCTATTTCTAATATTTTTTTAATTGGACGGTTTTGCTTTATTTTCATATGTGTATAACATGAAACTATTTTCAACTCTATTCAACTAATATCAACTCTATTCTTAAAGTTTTTTAGTTGTGGTAAAATAATAGAGCCTAAAAGTTACCATTTAACCATTTTGAAACGTACAGTTCAGTGGCTTTATGTACATTCACATGGCTATACAGCTGTCACCATCGTCCATCCCCAGAGCTTTCTCATGCCCCCACTGAAATTCTGTCCCCCGTAAGCAGTACCTCCCATTCTTCCCTTCTCCCTAGACCCTCGTAGCCATTCTACTTTCTGTCTGAGTTTGACTACTTTGGGTACCTCATCTAGTGGAATCATGCAACGTTTGTCCTTTTATATCTGGCTTATTTCACTTGGCATAATGTTATAGCATGTGTAAGAATTTCATTTCTTTTTAAGGCTGAATAATAACCCATTATATGTGTGTATCCAACATTTTATTTATGCACTCATCTGTCAGTGGGTATTTAAGTTGCTCCACCTTTGACTATTGTGAATAAACCTGCTATGGACATGGTGTGCAAGTATCTGTTCAGACTCCTGCTTTCAATGCTTTTGGGTATATACGCCACAGTGGAATTGCTGGGCTATATAATTTTCTGTTTAGTCTGCGGCCACACCACCCTGACTGCGCCCGATCTCGTCACATTCACGTTGTGTGTGTCTTCAATGTTTAGCGTTCTACTTGGCATATAGGAGGTTTTCAATAGGCATATGACTTATGCTGTATTTCATGAATAAGCATCTTAATGCATGATTTCCTAGTGTTATCACTCATTTTCTCTGGGACTTTGGACAAATCACTACTTTTTTTTGTGGCAAAACAAAATCCATATTTTGATCAAAGTTTATAGAGTCAAGCACTAAAGGAAAAGCAAAAATCTTATCAGTTTTGATGAGTACTTAGCTAGTTGAGTAGATCAATAAAAATTTATTCTTGAAGAAGTCTACAAGAGTTGGTGACAGTCTAGATCAGCGATGGGTAAACTTTTTCTGTAGATGGCCAGATGGTAAATATTTCATCTTTGTGGGCCATAGTGTCTGTCACAACTACCCAACTCTTGGAGCATGAAAGCAGCCTCACATAATATGTAAATGAATAAGCATGGCTGCATTCTAATAAAAATTTTATTTACAAAAACAGATAGTAGACCAGGTCTGGCCAGAGGGTTGTACTTTGGTGACCTCCATCTGAATTAAGCTCTGCTCATAGAAAACTTTGGTGACATCTCACAAGTGACGTTAGGAGCCATTGAGAACTAAGTTGCCATCAGTATGGCCACAACAGTTATACATGTTGCAGTTTTATGAAGCTCACAGTAGGAAGTGGAATTCATACCAAGAGAGTAAAGTCTATTGTGTTTGTAATGAGGAGACAGAGGCAAGAAGGACCCCGGTACTCCCTTTAGTTTTTATTTTATTTTCCATCACCATTTATTCCCCCATACCCTCCTTCATCTCCACCCCTACCTAACCCCCACAGTCGCCGCACTGTTGTCCATGTCCATAAGTTCTTTCTCCTTTTTTTCACTCCCTCCCTCCACCCCCCAGCTCCCCTCTCACCCCCCTGAGCTG